AGCTACTGAGAGTATCCTACCTGCACAAATGAGCCTGGCAAGCTACCCATGATGCATTCTATACGCCAAAAACAGTAACAATAACTTGTCTCTTTCTCCTGACCCTGAAAAAGCCTCCAATACCATTGGGAAAGACTAGTAAGGCTGCTAAAATCTCAGAGCCGGGACGAATGGAGATATTACTGGCACCTGCTCAAGTAAACTGATGAACAATGGGATGACAGTGATACAGTGATGTGTATACATACGTACATATATGTTGGCTGCATGCAAGGCAAACGCCCTACCACTGTTCTATCGCTCAGTGGTAGGGTGTTTGCCTTGCACGCAGCCAACATGGCCGACCTGAGTTCAATTCCTCCGCCCCTCTTGGAGAGCCCGGCAAGCTACCGAGAGTATCTTGCCCGCATGGCAAAGCCTGGAAAGCTACCCGTGATGTATTCGATATGCCAAACACAGTAACAAAAGTCTCCAATAGAGACGTTACTGGGCCCGCTTGAGCAAATTGATGAACAACGGGAGGACTGAGACCTGTGACTGTGACGTAACTATATATATATATATATATATATATATATATATATATATATAAACATGGCTCGAATAAAGTAGTTGTATTGTCTGTGTTCCTTCTGTAGAAAGAAAACCATCAAATGTGGCCTGGGTGGGTTTTTAAGATAACCTTCAATGGCAAAGTCAATGCAACATGTTATCACTACAAATACATAAATTCAGGTAGGCAGAATCTGGGATGATAAATGATTCCAGTGGTAGAGGAATCTGCTATATCCTTGGCAATGGGTGTGGTGCAGTAACAATGTAAGCCTAAGGCATATGCATTAACTATTGTGAAACATGTTCTGTGATAATAGTAAAAACAGCTTAGTCAATTATCCTTTAGGACTATATACTGTTGGTATATTTCAATATGAATAAAAATGCATTTCAGAAAAAGCTCACCTATCAATCAGATCCTAAGTATTTTAGGACATTCCTTAAAATGCTGTTTTCTGAACAGTAAGACCGGAAAGGGGAAGTTGTAAACTGACTCCCTGACTAAAACCTACAACTATTGCCAAAAGACTAAAGTAATATTATGATTTGGGTAATAATGAAGTAGGAACACATGAAGATTATCAGAGGATATAGTGAGCCTCTGTATGGAGAAACCCTCATGGTTCTGACAGAAAAAGCATGACCACTGAAGAGACTGTGTGTGGGCCACCACATCTACCCTTCACCTTCACCTCTTCCCACCACCACCTCGGCCTAAGGTTATTTGTCTCTAAATAACTGACTAATTTTTTTTTCTTTTTGGGTTACACCTGGAAATGCACAGGGGTTACTTTTGGCTCTGCACTCAGGAGTAACTCCTGGCGGTGTTCAGGGGACCATATGGGATGCTGGGAATCAAACCTGGTCAGTCACGTGCAAGGCAAACGCCCTACCCGCTGTGCTATCTCTCCAGCTCCATGACTAATGAATTCTTTAGTTAGTTCTCAGGCAAGTTGAATTTTCAAGTTTGACCATCAACTTAATAATAATAATGATAATAATAATGATGATGATGATGATGATAATGATGATGCAGGGTGTGTATTGGGGGAGGCAATTTTGTACTTGATAGCATGACAGTACCTTCTTTCTTAATGAAGTGGGTGCTAAAATTTTTGTCCAAAGGAGGTTTTGTTGGTGATTTACACAACAGGAACAAGTGTAAAAAATATTAAAAATATTTCTGTGTAATGGAAACATTAACATCATGGAAATGAATCCAACATTTTTTCCTGTGTGTGTATAACCCAAGTCCTGACTGGGCTCCTCTTGATGCTCTCTCTGCATTTTTATGTGCATAGACCTTGAAAACATCAATGAGATTACCAGATGACAAAGAACCAAAATTTTTCAAGTGTGGGTGAACGATCTGGAAGAATAGAAAACTTACTATGTTACACACAAAACCGAAAAATAAACAATATCTTTTCCCCTCATTCATTTCTTAAAATTCCATTTTATATTAAAAAACAAACAAAATTAAATTTAGCACAAAAATTATAGGAAAAATACCATATCACATGATAGTTTATTGAGTGAAAAAGATTCCTTTTCATTCCATTTTATGACAGATTGTGCTAAGAGTCATTTTGGAAGATTGTGCAGCATTCAGAAGTTGTAGCTCATCATGCGATCACTGGGCAGCATTTATCTATAAGTGCGTGCACAGACTCAGACAATTTGCAAGTCATTTCCTCTATGATCAATAGCAATTTTCCATATACTGTACTATAAAATCATTTCAGCTCTGAACTCATCAACGAAAACTGCATGCACATATATATTAGTAATTTGCTTGAAGATACAACAGTTTAGAATATGAAAATATATAAGCAGCATTCATGTATACATAATTCCTGAGAGTGTGTGCTATATAAATCTTTGAAAACTAATTATATTCATATGAAAACCATGATATAAAACAGTTCTTTCAACTAGAGTGATCAAAAACTAACATACTACAAGGGGCTGTCAATATTTTGCTGTTAACAATGATGAAGGCATAGCTAGATTCTACCATATCATTTCACAAAAGGAATTGTTCAGTTTTTCTCTATTTTTTCCATCAGTTTAAAAAATATCAGAGAAGGAATTTTCTAAATCAGTGTATTACAAATTTTATTAAAAACACTTTTCTCTTGGCAAGTTTTCTTTCTAGGTGATCAAAATGATTTAAAACACTGATGATGATTATATAAAAATAATTTGAAAAAGAATTTTCAAGGACAGAGCTCTCATCACTCATTCTACTGTAAGATAAAAGTCTTCTTCTTGTGTTAATTTGAAAAGACGTAAATGCCAGTTTTATGTTTATAACAGTTCATGTACATCAGTACAACAGAGATATACTCAGACATGTGCAATATATTTAATTAATAAAGGAACACAGATGTTATATATAAAACTGGAATCATTAAAACCCCCTGTATGTAGTTAGTGAATTAGTTGTTCTAAATAATTAGGTGGAAAAAATAGAATTTTGCAAGAGTATATAAAGGAAGTTTAAAGTAAGAATAACTTCCCCTTTCTCAGAAACATGGAGCAAATAAATAATGAAAACTTTGATGAAACCAACCAACCAAGTAAAACCTATCAGTCTTTCTAAGGAGGGAGAAAGAAAAAGTCCAAAGTATATTTTCAGTTTCATACTGAAAAATTAGTTTTAGAATAAGAGAAATTCTATACTTTTCTCATGAGGAAAATCCTCGTGTGTTTATGAAGAAGTTTTTTTCTATTGTGTTTAATTCAGTTCTTATACATTTTGGAACAACTGCTCAGTTTAGTTAGAAAAATATAATTGGGTAGATAATCAGAAGTCATATATGTGTGTTAATATGTTATGTTTGTACATATGTGAGAAAGAAAGAGAGAGAGACAGATGTCTATATCTATATGTCTATATCTATATGGAGAGAGACAGAGAGAGAGAGAGACCATTGCCCCATTGCATTGGGGAAAGAAAGTTGAGATTAGTTTCAAATGTTTTGTAAGGAAAGGGAGTAGGACTTCTATCATACTTTCCTTGAGTTGTTCTCTTCCTCTTCAGCCCCCAGAGCTGATGCCTCTACCAGATCTTTTCTAGTGAAACACCCTGTTACTGTTATTCCTGCTTCAGAACAATTATACTAGTAGAATGTAGTGAACCATTGTACTAGTAGAGTGACAGTGAAGCAGGATTTCCACAACAAGGAAAAATAATGTCCTTCACTATGAATTTGACATTGTTTCCAGAAAACTTCAAAACACAAACCAAATAATTATATTAAAGACAGAATAACAGAATGTCCACTTCAATGATTAAAAGAAAGTAACACAAATGCTTTAAAAAACCCCAAGGAATAATATAATTTTTTACATTCATGCATTGTTCTCATTAGCTCATGAGCAAGAGTGCACATTGTTGGTTGGAAGGGGCTGTACTATAAAGCATCTGGCTTCTGTCTTCTTCAATGAACAAGTCACCGTGGTGTGTCGTGAAACTGACCTCATAAATTAAAAAGCTGCATAACTTGTACTACATACTGTCATGGTGCAAAGACATAAGGAAAAACCAACATATTTACAGCATTTCAAGTTATTCTGTAAAAACTGTAGCAGTAAATCAAGGAAGGAAAATACTATAAAATACTGTCGAAGAGTAAAGTATGAGTTGATCTGTTCTAAATTATATGAAAATAACCACTCATGTTTTTATATGTAGTGCTATTGACATTTTGTTTTAAAAAATTAAAGGCAGATAACTGTTCTGCACTGCTAAAATAAATTTGAATGTGGTTAATGCAATATAACATTATTTCAATTAATGGTATTTTTTTTAATCTTAGATTTTTGGTTTGTCTATTAAGGAGATATGAAACTCTTTAACTGCATAGTCAATGTAAAGCAGCATAAATTCCCTGTGGCACAGACCCATAATCTCATCAGGAAACAGGGACAATTCTTATAAATCTGTAGGCTGAAGGGACATGGAATTCCGGCAGGAAAGGCAACAATTGATTTAAGTTGTATTTTTGTGAATATTGCAACTCAAACTGAGGTTGCAAATTCATATTAGTATATCATGTGATATTATACCATGTGATACTTTAAGTTATGCCAGGCTTGTGAACATGTCCCTGGAGATCAGTCTCTAGAAACTCTCTCCCCCATTACCCTTATAACACTGCAGCTAATGGAGGAGGAAGTTTCCAAACTACCTGAGAATTAGATATTGGCTCCCTGCACTGTCAGTTTAGCCAGATTTTTAAAGGTTACGACTCACATTTCTCTTTCCATAAGTCTGTATTTTACAAATACCAAATGTTCATTTAATACATTGCCAATCAATTAGCACATTATACATATGTGGCATGCCGGGCATGCCTCCCTCCCAGATCTCACCCACCAATGTTAAGTTCCTGGCAATTCTATTGTTACAGCCCTTCCAGGGTAATGGGGATGATCAACTAAGGCCATTCATGATGAACTGGATGGCCGCTTTTTCTCCGTTGTTGTTGCAAATGTTCTAGCTCTGCTTCATACATCATTTCTTGCACTAAATATTTCTCCCGTCGTATTCGATCGTATAAGTTCTTTGGTACATCTGGAATCAGGTATGCGATGAAGGATTTTATCCCAAAGACAAGGTGCTGCAAATTGAAAATGGTAATTTTTAAATTTTCAAATGCCTTACAATTAACTACAATTGATGAAGAATTAGAACTCAGTAAGTACAAAAGTGAAAATCAGCATTTTCAAAGATGGTGTTTAAAATACTACTGTTGCTTTTTTTTTATGTATTAGGAGGAAACAAGTATTGCTTTTTCTTTCTGACATGTTGATACTACTTTATGGATGATGGGATGAATCATAAATTCACATCTATACAACTTTTTTTATCTATTATGACATGAATGTTGTAAAGACCTTAGAAAGATAAAATCCAGGGATATCCTAGTTGATAGACTATAATACACACTTTCCAAACCACATAGGATAGAATCTTCCTGTGACTATAGAATACCTCTAGCATAGATAGTTGTAGGAATTTGTATGCTATTTAGTTTTACATATCATTGTGGCATCTTAAAATGTTTTATTCATATGACCAAATTCTCATACAATCAAATATATAAGATTTTTAAGGAAAAAGCTTCCAAAACTTGTTTAAAAAAATCAGGAACAAAAATCAAGGGATATTAAATATACCATTGCTGAAGTAGATTACTTTTGTCTAAGCCCTGACACTCATGAATTGTGTGGCTTTATGCACATAACCAGCATTGTCTGTGTCTCCCTCTACTCTGGAGAAAATAACAGTATATCTTAAAATAGTATGAGTGTTCAATGAGTAAGTAAATATGATCAGTTTATAGAGAGTAGCACAGTATCAACACAGTAAATATTATTCTAAACAAATAATTTTCTTTCTTTTTTCCTATGAAGAGGGTAGATATTTTAGTTTTCCCTAAACTGGAAAAATACTGACAGTTTTAAGATGATCTGTAAAAAAAAATCCTGTTACTTAATTCTGTTACTCAATTTATCACAATAATCTCAAAACAGAAAGGAGGAATTCACAGTTCTTTTGACAAGGATTACTATGTGTCCCAGGATATTGCAATGCAGATTAGACTTTAATAAGGCAAATCATTTACAGAGTAGACTTCGATAAAACAAATAAATTTTTCACACAAAAAAGGAGCTCAGGTGTTTCTTTGCTGAATCACTATTTAACAGCCATAGAAATATCTAGTAATATGTCTCAATATATAGAAATATATTCAAAATATTTAGTATTACTTAAATTATATTCCAAGTCTTATAAGTGATAATAAATAATCTGTAAATGGAGATACATATGAATTCATATTTAGGAATCCTTCAACATAAAAATGAATATTTATTTTCAAGCTTTTTGCTTCATTTCTTTTGCTTGCTGTAATTATTATTGGATATTGTACTCTAGTTTTGTACAGCAGTGATGTGAACAACTATGTTCTGTTCTCAATTTTAATGGACATATTTTGAGTATTTTTAATTATGATATCTGCTACAGGTACTTATAAAGATTAACTCTTAAAGAAAATTGACTTCTCACTGGTTCATTCTCTGTATATTGATAATTGATATTTCAGCTTTAAAAATATAGATTTTTATCTTACATAATGTAATAAGGATTGAGACCAAAGATATACCCTTAAGTATAAAGGAAGTTGGAATATTATGCTTGTAGAGTAATATGTAATATTAGTAATATATCTAATAATATGTTAGACAACATATTATTATATATTATTATAACATAACAGATAACATATAACATATAATTTATCAACTTATTTGTAACAAATAAGTTGATAAATTATATGTTACTTAATAAATGATAATACAAAAACCCTTTTGTTATATTGGAAGGAAAATAAGAATTAATTAAGACACTACAAAAACCTTAATTGCATGTTATTAAGGTTGTAAAATGAAATAGTAAATATTTAGTAGAATATCCTTCTGAGATAATGAAACCTCTCTGAATAAGGCACATGAAATAAGGAAAAATGACCAAAAAAAAGCGATGGTTTGAATATATTTAGAATAAATGTTATCTGTTTTCACATAAAACCAGCAGGTTACAGATGTGGAACATATATCTGCTTGTGTTAATAACTGTTAAATACTAATATTTAGAAAATATAAAGAAATCTTGGAATTTTGAAGTGAACCAGAAAAATGAAAACAGTGCTGATATTTATAAACTTACAAAACAGGAGCAAAAAACGACTTTTACTACTTAACTTGATGGTCAATATTATTAACAGATTAAATCAGTAAATTAAAGAAAAATATTCCGGAAACATAAGGTATTTTTATGTTTTTGGTCATCATTTTGGCCCTAGGAAACTGAGTCATTCAATGCTTTTCTATAGAACTTAAAGAATAGTACTTCATATATTCCAGCATTGAGTTCTTTATTATATCAAGCTAGTTGTATAATAAACAAGACAAGATTAAAATAACTTCTTTAGGGGCTGGAGTGATAGCACAGCGGGGAGGGCATTTGCCTTGCCTGCAGCAGACCCCGGTTCAATTCCCAGCATCCCATATGGTCCCTCAATCACTGCCAGGACTAATTCCTGAGTGCATGAGCCAGGAGTAACTCCTGTGCATCTCTGGGTGTTACACAAAAATAAAAAAATAAATAAATAAAATATGCATGTCGAAAGTAGACTATGGGCTGAACATGTTTGCCACTCAATTCCTCTTTTGCAGACCACAACACACAAAAGGAGAGAGAGAACACAGGGGATTGCCCTGCCACAGAGACGGGGGGATGGGGGGATGGGGGTGGGAGGGATATTATCCATGGTGGTGGAAAATGGGCACTGGTGGAGGGATGGGTATCTGATCATTGTATAATTGAAACCAAAGCACAAAAAACTGTAAATCTACAACTGTAAAAAAAATAAAATAAAATAAAGGGAAAAAATATAAAAAATAAAATAAAATAACTTCTCTCAGATTTCTTTCATCAAACTGTGACTTGATATTATTGCAGTATTCCAATCACTAAAAGCCATACATATTTTATAAAAATTATTAGCAGTCATAATTGATTGAACACTTCAATGTCCCTTATGCTGTTATACTTTATCAGTTACATATGAGTTGTTTATTCAGAAAACAAAGTCTCTTCATCCAGATGCATAGATATAAATTCTTTTATCAGTTCATGAAAGCACTTCTTTTAGTATGGCTAGTAGGAGGCTCAAAATGTTTTCAGTTCAACTGTGAGAAGCTTCTTTTATTCTTTAGTATAAATATCACTAACCTACTTTCTTAATTAACCAACTCTTTTTCAAATTTGACTTGTTATCACAGTTTCATTGTATCTGAACCTTTTTCTAGGACATATTTGGTTGGTTTTTTTTTGAAGTTTGTAAAGAACTAGATTTAAAAAGGCAACTGATATGGGTTGAAAAAGTATTTTTCTACAGTAATTGTTACCAGTTTGTGACTAACCTCAAACACAATGATGAAGGCCAATCTTGCAGCAAGAATATGCCAGTATTGTAAAGTGAACTCATAGGGTTTGGAACTCCAAGGGGGACCTCTGTAGTCTCTGTACCTACAGTCAATGAAAACAAAGGATTTGAAGAAGAGATCAAAGTGCAAAGGCCCCAAATGTTTTTAATTTGCTAAAATTCCTAAATGAGAGTTTTCATAGTTTATTAGCACATATAAGGGAAGAGAAAGAATGGTGAAGGTAAATAAAAATAGGTACCTGCAATAACCAGATTTTCCCAAACCAAGATCACTCAGGTCGAAGAACGATAGGCTATTGTTGACATAGCCCTTTAAGCAACTGAAAGAAAAAGAGTAAAGTGTGTTTTAAAAATTTATGTTTCTAGTATAATTCCTTCATTGCAAATGATAAAACTTAATAAGTGAAATTTCTTCCCCACTGTAATTATAAATTCCTAACAACTCAGTTCTCTTACTTTTGTCCTTAGCTCCCATTTCCATTATATCTATAATTGTGTGTTAATGAGACAGACTCTCCCCTCAAAAGTTAGACATTCATTTAGCTAACTTCCCTTAAGTGCTAACCAAGTGCTAAAAATTGTGTGTTAATCGATTCCCCTATGCATGATGTCTCAAGTACATTTTGTAAGCTATCAAGAAGCATTTATTTGTGACTTATGGATTGATTAAATAAGTTTATTTTTTATTGAAGCCTACAATCTGTTAAAAAAATTCTAGAGTTTTGTTGGTCAATAATAAAAAAAAACAGGAAAAATCTCTAGAGTTTTATGTTAAATATTTTGTCATGTTCTTTTTAAATAGCACATGTAATTATTATTTCCATCATACAGATGAAAAGTAGTATTTGCATGAAGTAACTATAGATAGCACAGCAGTAGGACGTTTGCCTTGCGTGTAGCCAGTTTGGCCAAGCCCGGTTCAATTCTCCGCCCCTCTCAGAGAGCCTGGCAAGCTACCGAGAGTATTCAATATGCCAAACACAGTAACAAGAATTCTCGAGCAAAACCATAGATATATTTTTTTTATTTTTTGTTCTCAGTTACCATTCACTTTTTTAAAAAGTAATTTAGCTTATCCAAGAACTTTTTTGCACAGGATATATTTTTTGATATTTTGCACATCAGAAAGTACAAGCGGGAATTCAGCACAAACTAATATGTTAATTCATTCAAGGAGCTTGAGAGACAGCTCAAGCTAGAGATAGGATTTGATTTTGGTTAGAGTTAGAAGAGAATCTGACCTCACAAAGATAATAATCGAACAAAGGACTGTTTTTAGAGCATTTCCCATGATTGTTGCTAGGTAACTTTTTCTGTTGTCACTGTCACTGTCCTCCCATTGTTCATCGATTTTCTTGAGCGGGCCCAGTAACGTCTACATTGTGAGACTTGTTGTTAATGTTTTTGGCAAATTGAATACATCACGGGTAGCCAGGTTTTGCCGTGCGGTGCGGGCAAGATACTCTTGGTAGCTTTTCCGGCTCTCCAAGAGGGGTGGAGAAATCGAACTCGGGTGGGCCTTGTTGGCTGCATGCAAGGCAAACGCCCTATCTTCTGTGCTATCGCATATGGTCAATTCTCAAAGTTTAGTTGCAACATAGAAGCTTGAATGAAAGTAAGTTTAGTTTCAGTGTAAAATCTCAATGCAAGAATAAAATTTTCACGTGGATTTTACATTAAAATCACATATTTATCTTTTATTTTGAACATGTTTTTTTGATATGTAATTATACCACAAAAATAAAACTCATTTAGGAAATTTCCTCCTGAATTAGAAGATCTTGTTAAAGTTGGCTTCTTTTCATCATAGATAAAATATTAAAATTATTAATTTTACCTTATATTTTATCAGTAACGTCTCCATTGGAGACTTTGTTGTTACTGTGTCTGGCATATCGAATACTCTCGGTAGCTTTCCGGGCTCTCCGAGAGGGGCGGAGGAATCGGACTCGGGTCGGCCATGTTGACCGCCTGTAAGGCGAACGCCCTACCCGCTGTGCTAACATTTTAAAAATAAATTGGTAGTAAAAATGTTATTCAAAATCTTTGTTCTCTAATTTTCATTTTTAATCTTAACTGTAGTATGGCTATAAATACTGGCAATAATTTTCCCAGTAATTATACATAAGGTATAAACACTTAAGGTGACAAGCTAGCATAGTGCATTTTATAAAAGAATGTCCCTTTAACAGACATAGAAAGATTGCATTCATCCGGGGAAAATAAAGTAACAAAATAGGTGACTAACACCCAAGAATAGTCGAGATAAGTACCAGGAGGTTCACTCAGTGGCTTGGAGGCCAGCCGCAGATGCTAGGGGAAAAGGAAGCTCAGATAGAGAGGGAGCACCAAATAAAGGGTGTTGGGAGGATCCTCCCAGGATGGGAGATGCATGCTGAAAGTAGACTATAGACTGAACATGATTGCCACTCAATGCCTCTTTTGCAAACCACAACACCCAAAAGGAGAGAGAGAACAGAGGGGAATGCCCTGCTACAGAGGAAGGGTGGGATGGGGGGGATGGGGGTAGTAGGAGGGATACTGGGATCAGTGGTGGTGGAAAATGGGCACTGGTGAAGGGATGGGTACTCGATCACTGTATAACTAAAACCCAAGCACAAAAATCTGTAAGTCTACAACTGTACCTCATGGTGTTTCACTAATAAAAATTAAAAAAAAAAAGAATGTTCCTTTAAAAGTATTAATGATCATAGTATGCTTGGCAAACATTCCACATTTTAAAAAATATTTAAATTGAAACTTCAGTACTTGTTCTGTTTTTAGATAAACTTTATATATTTAGGTTTGCAGCGAAAGTATCTCAAGGGCATTTGACATTTTCTCAAATAAAACTGAAATCACAATGATTCAAGGATAGAGAGTTGAATAAATAGTTATTGATGTTTTATCAAGAACTTTTTGAAGTTTTTCGCATTTAAAAATGACTAGTACTCTGGCACGGCCATGGCTCCAGAAGCTCAAGGACTTGATGCAGGGTCCAGCAGCTTGCAGCAGAAAAGTGAACGGACCATGCCTTAATCCACGCCACCATGCCTGCCCACAGGGGAAAGGGTGTTGGTCCTTTCTGCCTTTTTCCCTCTGGAAAGAAAGATGGCAGCCGCTTGGGAACTTTGTGGAAAGCCAAGTATGAGCCAGTCGTGATGGTGAACTGAAACCTCATGGGAAGGGGGGCATTCCCGGCTCGTCCTTCACATCCTACCGAGGTCACGAGTTGCCCCCAATGAGCGGCTCTCCGGCACTGTCATGGCTCTAGAGCACAGAAACCAATCTCATAACTATCTGACTCTCAGCAGAAATACTTCCAGGGTTAATAAGTAAAATACCAGAAATCTAAAATCACACGGCCACTATTGCGGCCACATGACATTGTTTGATTCTTGTGTCCAGCTGTAGAAAACAAATTATTTCACAATGCCTTTTCAGCATGTCTGATTTGGGGGTGTAAACTCTAAATAATAAGGGTGCATCTTTTGTTGAAACAATGAATCTAGTCAAAGTAGATAGAGTGTTAACTAGAATTCATCTGCCTCACATGCATTGGGAGGGTTGGGAGGGGGGGTTTATTGGGGTTCTTCGTGGTGAAAAATAAGTATTGATAAAGGGAAATGTGTTTGATATTTCCATGAATGAGACTTAAACCTGAAAGCTTTGTAACTTTTCCCACAGTGATTCAATAAATAAATAAATAAATAAAATGGCTAGTAAATGGTAATGAGAACTACAATAATTAGTATATTGGGCAGCAGTCTCCAGAGCAATACGTAGGATACACAATCACAGTATCACTTCCTGTGATAACTAGCTGGTTCAGTGCTGAGGTCTGAAAATGCTGCAAAGATGCTCAAGGTCTGTGAAGTCAGTGACCACTTGGGCTATACAAATGCAATGCTTCTGGTACCCATATGGTGTCAGATATTGAATTGGAGTTGGGTTTGTTCTAAGCATGTACCCACATCCCTGTACCATCTGCTAGCCCTAATGGTACTTTTTGATGACACTGTCTAATATTATGCAAAACAATCAGACAACCGTCATCCCCAGTGGTGCAAATATCAATGTAATGAAAAAGGAAAACCGTGCTTAGTAGTAGTAATATAAAAATTATATGAATCTACCTCCTATATTCTAGAAGAAATCTCCAGACCATACATTGAGAACCACATCTCTAGATCAGAACCGTATGCAAATAGTTATCTACCCCATTCTAACCCCTTAATTTATTTCAGTGCATACTGGTCTTGTTCCTGTTTTGTCCAAACCAGAATCAGTTACTTCAGATGCTCTTTGCTAATATTGCTCTCCACTTCTCTACCATTCTTTCTCAGCCCCCTACACTTTGTAATCAGGCTAAATCATCTCCAAATACAGCAGCAAAGCATAGTATAACAGGATATACCCATGAATGTTGGGCTGGGGCGATAGCACAGCCGGTAGGGCGTCTGCCTTGCACACGGCCAATATGCCGACCTGAGTTCGATTCCTCCACCCCTCTCGAAGATCTGGGAAAGTTACCGAGAGTATCTCACCCGCAAGGCAAAGCCTGGCAAGCTACCCGTGATGTATTCAATATGCCAAACACAGTAACAAGTCTCATAATGTTACTGGGCGCACTCAAGCAAAATTGAACAGCGGGAGGACAGTGACAGTGACCCATGAATGTGTGGTTTCAACTGACATAAACACTATTTACCTCTGAAGTTACTTTACTACTTTGGTCATTGATATAAACTGGAGTGATAGCATAGCGGTAGGGTGTTTGCCTTGCACGCAGCCAGCCCGGCAGAGCCGGGTTCGATTCCTCCACCCCTCTCGGAGAGCCTGGCAAGCTACCGAGAGTATTCAATATGCCAAACACAGTAACAAGAAGTCTCACAATGGAGACGTTACTGGGCCCGCTAGAGCAAAATCGATGAACAACGGGAGGACAGTGCAGTGTGGACAGTGTCAGGTCATATCTTCAAGAAAGCCTGGTCTTGAAATGCAGACTAGATATTCAGCTATTTAACTTTCAATTACTCTAGGTGGCAGTAGAGACACTATGAAACAAAACTAAGGAACTAAGGAATAGGGCTGACTGGCAAACAAGAATGCCTATTTTAAGGGCTTAAAATTAATGTCAAGATCATTGTGAATTAAGAAAAAAAGGAATATCTTTTTGTTTTTTTCACTATTCGCACTATTTATATTACATAAAGCATAATGTTTCACAGCCCAAAAAATATGACCTCAAACACTATTTCTTGTAAACACTGGTGTTGAGTGATAACAAGCATTTTAATAATAAAGCAGCTAAAACTTGAACCTAATGTGTTAGACTCTGATTAAACATCTTCCGACAAGACTGAAATATAAAATAAATCTCAATACCTCAATAGATTTGATTTATAAAAAACAAAAATAATCTTATGCATTTATTATCTCTCTAGAAAAAATTAGGTGCTTATAGTAAGAGAGGCACTTCTAGAAAACAGCAGCTCTCAGCAGAACTAAGAATTGACCTGCATCTAAATAAGACACATGAAGCATAGTCTTAGTGATGTTTCTCTTGAAAGGAGTGAATCTGAAGATGGTCTCAGATAATTTTGAAGATTACTTCCAGCATTAGAATTTGACAAATACAGTATAATCCTTTAAAACTTTTTGTTAAAGTGATAGATTTCAGAAAGAGAAAAAACATAAAACAATCTAAAGATAAAGTATAACAGGAAAGTGTACAAAATTCAACCTTACTTTTCATTGTATCCAGAGCTTGCACAGGGGCCATATTTGTATTCATATACAAAACGTGGGATGTAATCAGATGTTATAGCAATTACAAATGCGTTGGTGATCACAGCCAATATACCAATTCCTTCAAGAATTCCATACCAGATACCTAATAAGAAAAAGATAAAAAGTAGTTAATAAATTGGAAACAATATTTGAAAAAATCTTATGTTTGGGAAGAATGCATCTTTTCTCTTTTTTTCCTTTCTGAAAAGCATACATATTTTTGAATTAATGTTTTTGTGTCTTGCTCGAAATACCAAGGAGTGGGTTCACTGAATCATATGAAAGATCTTAACTTGTTAAGACTCCATATTATTTTTTACAGACTAAGCCAGGCAATATCCTCACTGACAGTGAAGGGGGGTTTTATTCATAAAGTGCCATTTTTAAAGTAAAAGTACAAAAGTTGTGAAATTAGCTAAGTGTTTGTCAGGACCTGGAAATCACTAATTGACATCTTAAAGAAGCCTATTGAACATCATGTAGATACACAAGAAATAAATGCTTTTAAACTGCATTAGGTAGAAAGATGTTATTGATTATAGTCAGATGAATGTTTCAACTATGATTAAATTTAAATTTAAAATATTGATATTAAAATCTCAAAAGAAATTCTCAAAGGTAACAAATGTGACTTTCTCTGCATCACAATAGTCTATTTTAAAAACATTTTGTAATCTGTATACTCAGAGATATGATGGGCTTGAACAATAGCACAGCGGGTAGGGTGTTTGCCTTGCATGCGGCCAACTCAAGTTCGATTCCTTTGCCCCTCTCGGAGAGTCCAGCAAGCTACCAAGAGTATCTTGCCCACATGGCAAAGCCTGGCATGCTACCCATGACGTATTCTATATGCCAAACATAGTAACAAGTCTCACAATGTTACTTGGCCCACTTGAGCAAAATCGATGAACAACGGGAGGCAGTGCTACAGAGACATCATGAGAATAAGTCAATATCGCTGATTGTAAAGATAATAAGACAATAAATCTGAATTTATAGGAAAGTATTTGAGTACAACAAGTGACAACATTTATTTTTATAAAAGTAATGATAGCCCACAAAAAGAAAACAATGACCTAGAAGATAATATTTGTTTCATAAAGTAGATAAAGGGTTATTATATTGAATATACAAAAAATCCTAAATTTTAAAAAGGCAAAGCACCAAGGAAGAAAATGAAAGAATGATACAAATAGGCAGTCTGATATGAAAATGCAAATAATCAATAAGTACATTTAAAAGCTTATTGTCATTGTTTTTTCCAGATCCTTCAGAAATAAGATTCTTTAAAAAATCATCACGTAGTCAAATATTTGAAAGTCATAAATTTCAATTGGAGTTTAGATATTGTGGAAATAGAAACTGAAACTGAAACTGAGTCTGTATCTACATAGTTATTTTAAGTATGTTTCATTAAAAACATTTTGACAATGTAATCTATTTTTCCCTAATTTTTATTTAGGCACTGTGATTTAAAATATCACTAGTAATAGAATTTCGTGCATACAGTGAACCAACTCCACACATGAGTTCCTCTAAAACTCAACATAAAAATACATTTTAAGCTAGTAGATGTATTTTGGAAGCATCTATATTGCAGGTCCAATTTACAGATTAATATATGAATGTGTGATGCTCAATATAAATATATCTGTTTTCTATAATTATTTATGAGTTTTTTTTTGCTTCTTGGGGAATGAACTGAATGACTATCAAACTTACGCTATATTCATATTACTTTGTAATATCAAAGAACTAAATCAATTCTAATATCTATAAGAAGGGAACATTAAAATACACAACAGAAACATACCAAACAATTCCAGAGAATGAAATAAAGTTATATTTATTAGTATAAAATTATGTGAGTTCTTGGAAGTTACAAACTTTGTTTTATTTTGGGGTCAAACCTGATGCTCCTCAGGGGTCCATATGGGATGCCAGGAATTGAACCTGGGTCATCCATGCAAGGTTAGTGCCTTACTCAATGAACTATTTCTCCAGCCCCCAAGAGTTGCAAAAAATTATGAACCAGCATATTTAATATGAAACTACTCACTACTAAGTGTTTGTTTCAATTTTGGTAATTAAATCTGTTTTATTATGGTTGGATAGTAGTCCCAGCAATAAAGACCCGCACACTGCTAAATAAAATTAAACACTTCTTGGCTGTAGAATTATGTGAATTTACCTATGTCAGTTGCTCGAGCTGGCAGAGGTCTCCTCCACTGAGTGACAAACTTGTAAGCATCCAGTCTGATTTCAATGATATTGTTTAGCAAAGCCAAAAGGGGCGCCAAAGGAAAAGCCGCAACAAAGATGGTGGTAAAACCAAACTGCAAAACTGTTAAGGGAGAACACTAACAAATTAATAATTTATACATTCCACTTCATTAGCAATATAAGAAATAGCATTTATTGAACACTTTCTCTGTGCATGTTCTGTGTTCTTCCTAAAACATTTTGAATTCTTTCTATATTTTTATAAAGGGCAACGTGTTTCTCATTTTATATGAGAAAACTACAGCAAAAGTGTGTTAACAAACTTGTAAAAGGGTAATAGCTTTAAACAAGATAAAAACAAAATTCAAACTCATAACTCAATGGATTTCACATTTATCTGCTTCCTATTTTTATACCAGGTAGCAGTAAGGAAAAGTAAAAAAAAAAATGAGACAGCTGAAGGTCAGTGAAGAGATAAATGTCAATAAAACATATAAAAACTTTAGCAAGTGGAATAGATATCTTTATTTTATTAATATTACATAAGTAAACTTCTTAAGGAAGCTCTGAGTTTGTTGTAAACTTTTGCTGTAAAAAAAAAGAATTATAGTTTTGGTGAAGTGGCATATTTCTTAAGATTAGAATTGTTGGGCTGGAATGATAGCACAGCGGGTAGGGTGTTTGCCTTGCATGCAGCCGACCCGGGTTCAATTCCCAGCATCCCATATGGTCCCCTGGGCACCACCAGGAATTATTCCTGAATGCTGAGTGCAGGAGCCAGGAGTAACCCCTGTGCATCATCGGGTAAGACCCAAAAAGCAAAAATAAATAAATAAAAGATTAGAATTGCTTCAGTTTTATTTTGCTCCTTCAATATATTTGTTCACCTTTAAAAAAGAGAAGACACCATATCACCTTAATCTTTTTAATAACTGCATATTAATTATTCATCAAATTATTTCTCAAATTATCAAAAATAAATAAAATTAAACAATTTTTAAAAATTTGTTCAAAATATAGATTTTTTTGAATTGTGGGAACAGTTTTCATTTTGGTCAGATACTATGTCTTTCAGAGGACAAAATATGTCAACCTTCCATTGCTAGGTTTTACTCTCTCCTAGCTCTGTGACAATAAAGATGAGAGTTTATTAAAAAAAGCTTAGGTTTAGAAAAGAGAGAAATGCTTTATAAAAAATTTTGAACAAAATCTATGAGAAGTAGTAAAACAGTATCAAGACTGTGAAGTAATTTCACTTAATTTTTTTAATTACCCATTTCTAAGTATTCATCCATCAGTCCGTGAATATTCATGGGCTGCAGATTCCAATCATTTTCCCACTGAGGTATAGAGGCATCTTGTACTCCCCGCTTGATTTTATGTCGTGACCACCAATTCTGGATCAACCTACATCACAGAGCATACAAAGAGTTTTTGGGCTCTAATTTTAGCATCTGGTAGAATATTTATATTCATTAAGGAAAAAGAAATGCCAGGTATTCTAGGTCTTATTAGGAATTGGTTTGCATGGTTTCAGTTTCAAGATTAGTCCCAGAGAACAGTTATGGCCACCTGGATCTGTCCCAGATCCGAAGTGTTTCTACATATTTACCTAGAAATTTATCATCCTCCCACAATACACCTAGGTACTTCCTGAGACTTATTCAACAGAAAGGAATTTTTATCATTCCTTTTCCATCCACAGCTCTAAAAATTCTAAACTTATATGAGATCCACTGTGATTAAATTTGAGTCCTTTCATCTTCATAATCCTTGTCTTCAACTCTGTGCTCTGTGAGCTTGAGTAAAACTGATCCATATGAACAATATAACCCGTACAAGAGATGCAGGTACTACTCTCCACCCTGCAACACATTATCTGCAGACTTTATCAAGATGCTTCAGCCCTAGGCCTTTGTAAAACATAATGGATCTGCGCATTAGCAATTTCTTTCAGATACTATAGCTAAAGATAGTTTACAGACAATAAAGTATGTCTATTTTCCAAAATTTGAAAGTAAAGAAATTTTCCTTTTATCTCAGGTCTTAAAAGGATCTGACTTATAAAGACACCTATATACATGTGGTATATTCTCAGTTATGATTTTTTAAGGATTACATTTAAACAATGGCCTCTAGAGAGGGAGGACACAAAAAGCTCACACTCATATGTTGGGTGTAAAAAACCTCAGGAGGGGAATAACTAATGCCCCAAGGCAATAGAAGCAAAGAGCTGGAGAACTGATCTTCAGTAGCAACCTAGCCACTGTCAAGTAGGAGGTTATGTCAGGGAAGGGACCACTACCAAAATGAGGAGGGACATGTTCACTTTGGATGAGGATTGGGTGATGAAAGCAGGTTAAATGATATGCATGATGACCTCTCAGTAACTATAATGTTAACTACAATGTAAACTACAGTGACTAAAAAGGAAAAGAAGAAAAGAAAGTGGGGGATGATGAGGAAGGAAATGGGTGACGTGGTAGAGAGAAAGGGACATGGGTGAAGGGATCGGTGTAGAAACATCATACATCTGAAACCCAATTATGAATGTGTCTTTGTAATTCACAGTGATTAAATAAAAAAAAACCTAAACCATCTCTAGGTACAAGACTTGGGGAAGAGTACTTAATGGTAACTACTTGTACGCCAGGAGTTTCACTGGGAGTTAGAAAAACAACTATAGCTAGAACATCGCTTCAGACAGTGCCTCAGGGATAGTCTCAAAGGCAGAATGAGCATAAAATGTGGGCTGAGAATTGGAATTGAGACAAGTCCATTTTTTTCTGTTTTATTTATTACAATATACTTAAGATTTTACTTGAAGATAAATGTGGTATAAAAATGTGGTATAAAAAAACTTTAAAAGCCAGTGTTTTAATAATCTGATCCTGCTAAATTTTTTTTCAACACAGCTTTTGTCCAGGTGGCTGAAAAAAGGACTCACAGGATGTCCCTTGCCATAATAACCTTGCTATTAGAGAAACACAACTCAGACGACTCAGGCAAAGCTGTTTAAAAACAGGCTGCTCAACGGCCTGAGAGATAGTACAGTGGTAAAGCAATTTGCCTTTCACTAAAATGAAATGGTTTTGATCCTGTCATCCCATATGATTCCCCAAGCACTGCCAGGGGTAATCCTAATCCTTGAACGCAGTCAGGATTAACTCTTGAGCATTGTCTGATCTGGCCCAAAACCAACTAACGAAAAAAAAAAAACAGAAAAACTGTTCAAAGTACATGATATAGTCAGGATTTCCTGGAAAATATTAATATAAATCATCGTCAATAACATAATTACCTTCTCTTTGGTTTGAGAACCCATAGTGCTCTTTGTTTTTTTTTTCCCTAGTTTTGAACTCAGTATTCACTCCTGGTCTCCTGGTAGATTCAGAGGATTTTATGTAGTAGCTTGGGTTGAACCTGGTGAGTTGGGTACAAGGCAAGTGACTTACCCGCTGTCCTATCTCTCTGGCCCAACTTCACCATCTTAATAGTGCTTATGAAGAAGATCAAATCCTGTGCTAGGTACTTATACCTGATTTCCTCAGTTTTTTTCAACCGATAATCTCCTAACTCTGTGTTTCAAAGGTGTGCTGAATATAGGCAGAAGTGTGATGTGTGCTGCACTCCTGCTTCCCATCCATTTTCTTTCCCTCCTCTCCAAATTTTATTTTATTAAAGCACCATGAATTAAAAAGTTATTCATAATTGGGTTCTGACACACAATATTTCCTCTTCATGTAACAAAGACTTCCTTTAATCTGCTTTGAATATTGAAGAAGAGTTAAAAAAAATCGTACCCAAAGGGTTCTTTCCTTTATTGATGAAGATTTTAAGACCACAGGGCCCTCTCATTTCTTCATAAGAACCTTAATTTACAAATAAAGAAATGTCTAAATGGTCATATAAAGTATAAACTTCATCTGCAAGAGGTTGAGAAGCTGAACCATATTATGTACTTCTTAGTCCATGTTCTGAGACTATAATTTGATACAATATCTTATTGCAGATTTTAGCACTAATGTATCTAGTCCTTAAATTTGTTCAGGCATGTGCCAGTGTCATTTGCAGGCAAACAAGGAGGGAGAATCACAGTATAATTTGATGAAAAACTTTAGTTCTTTATATTACTAAACAAGTTAATCCTTCCTCTGCAGTGAAGAATTCTTGAAAATATGTTTTGACCTTGATTAGTCCCTAGATAACCATTAGATAACCATTGTTTTAAATATAGCATGTATGCTGTATTTTGAAGAATGCTGTAATTTTATGTACTTAAAAGTGGGTTTAAAAGTCCTGCTAATAAACTTTTCAAAGATTAAATTTACCCAAAAGTACAAATATAAGATGCCACTATTTTGATGTAATAATTGATTCTGTTTGATTTTTTTAATGTAATTATATGAGCCCCCCATCTATTTTATTATCTTTTCCCTTTAAGAGTAGGGGATGAAAACAATTAAACAATAACAATCTGTGTCCTCTAGTAGCTGCTACAACACAGTTACTTTTATCTTCAAAATCTTACGTTGTTATATTTATGCATGCAACAAGTACCTTAACACACTGAACAAATCATCAGAGACTCTATGTCCATTATTTCCTTTAATCTTCACAGATATTTTAAAATTATTTAAATTTTTGCTGAGGAAGGATCACCCAATGGAGGTGAATCTCTCAGGGTCATCCTGCTGATACACGATCTGGCTACCCCTGGCCATGCTCAGTTCCAGGAATGCAGTGCTGTGGCCTGTCAGAGCCATTCCCTGTCAGGGGCCTCTGCCAGCAAAGTATGTGCTTCATATGCAAGGTGTATGCTCCAACCCTTTGAGCAATGTTACTAGGCCCTTCACAACTATTGCTGAGCTAGATAGATGTGATGATCCCTTGTTAGAGATGCGGAAATCAAATTCAGAAAAGCTGGGGGGCAGTGGGAATGAGGATGTAGAAACAGATGCAAAAATATCAGAAACATAAGTGGTGAAACATTTAGTAAGGACCAACATGGGAATTGAACACTCTTCTGTTTGCTTGTCAATTCCAAGTTAACTATTCACACCATCTTTATCTTTCTTCTTGTAGTTACATATAACGAAGGTTAAAAGATAAAGTGCTCACGGGTATCCCAGTTCCATGAAGTTGTTCCAAATTTGCTTCAAAAACATGATGACTCCCATCTGGAGGCAAAGGTCTATCAAACAGCCGCTAGGATGACACTGAAACAGAATGATGAGAGCAAGAATGATTTTGCTCTTTCTACTTGATTTTGATATCCCCACATTCAAGTCATGCACCATAAGCTATAGAAAGACCACACTATTTTGATGCATAAAAATATAAATAAAAATATGGGGATAAAGGATACAAATAGGATCTAGGAGTAATTTTGAGTAATTATAGTTTATAATTATAATTTTCAGTAATTATATGGGAATATTGATCAAACTAATAGTAGGAATAACAACAGATGTAATAATTATATTTTGTATATTTATAAAAGTATAAATATAAAAATTAAAAAATATAAAAATATGAAATAATTTTATTGTTATTTTCTGCTAAGCTCTGTGTTAAATATGTTCACACATCTTTAATGCTCTGGAATACTACAAAATTATTCCAATTAGGTTGCATAAAGTATTAAATTTTATGAAAATGTTTATAATAAATATTTTAAAATATCACATTTGTCTCAGTATGACAAGATTCGTAGAAAATTTGTAAAGATTTAAAGATAGGGCAGATGTCGAATTCCTCCATTTTACATTATTATACCAAGGTACACTTACCAAAACTACCAAATCACACCGGTACAGTGGAATCAACCAAACTACGAATTTTGTTCAGTTATCCCCAATTTCTCAATTCATATTATCTTTTTGCTACACCAAGACCCATCTCTCTACTGCACTTATGTATCTCCGCTGCCTTCTCTGCTTGGGAAGAGAAGTTTTTCATATCCCTGGCAGTTTTTGAATCACTGTGTGGACAAATACACAGTGAGATCTCCCTTCCAATCTGAGTATTTCTATTTTTCCTTTTAATTCTAGAGGAGGAAATAATTAATGGAATAATTAATTAAAATAATTAATATGGAAACAGATCACAGAGGCATTTTAATCCCATCCATTCAAAGGTGATATTCTATCAACAGGAATGTTTGTTCATTGTTTGTATACTGTACAATTCTGTAGTGTTTTCTACTAGGGTTTTCTAATAGATAATTACTGGTTATTTTCGTTAATCGTTTTAGGAGTGATTTTATAAGATGAGACCATTCTCAGCTGGTTTTAGAAAGAATGATTGTACATACAAATTAATGGTAAATGATGAGAGCACACAATAAAACAGTTTAACAATAGAATCCCGATTTTGCATTTTCTGTGCCATTTTGCTCTCTTTTGAGATTTTAAACAAAAGTTATATTTAAAATCCACCTCCAGGTGTAATTATTACCAAAAATGTAATCAATGTGCTTTTTTTGAATACTTTGTATTAAAGTAGACATTTGGGAAGGAAAGCGTGGGACTGTTTCTTTTGAAATAGGTTCATGTCCTGCTCATAAGGATGATAATCTCTACAAGCGTTGGTCCATAACTTCTATTTTTATCAAATAGATATCAGGGGGATTTCAATGGGAACGATTAATTAGGACACGAAGAGCCTGCTGTTTTTTATTTTCTAGCCCAATAACTTAAAACTGGATAATATGAGTTCAGAGAATATTTTAGCTGTGATAGCCTTATGAAAGGGTCTTAATTCTCCCATCCAAGCATGACTTCTTTTTGGATAAATTTAATAACTCCTGAACTCTCCACACAAATATTATACATGAGTTGGTGGAATATCTCAGGCAGAGTTATTTTAGAAAACACAAGCAGATCATAGATCACAGATCACAGCAAAGTTCATAGATCACAGCTCTGGATCACAGTTCAGGAAGAGTAATTTTGAGGAAATAGAGCGGATCATTGATCACAACTGGAACATTTTGTAGAGACTCATGAGGCAAATCAACTTCTTCAAGGACATGTGATATTGACTGGCGTGAAAATAAAAGTTTTGGTCTCTACACTTTCATCCATTGCTCTTACATGCAATGTTTAAGATTGACTGTATTTACCAACTGAGTTTGTGGTTTTTGAAGGGCTTGTTACCACAAGAATATTATTAGGTGGGAAGGGAAAAGAAGACAATCCTAGATGTCTTCTTTATGTAATAATTCCTCTGAGCTAAATCCAGTCCTTAAATTTTTTAAAATTTATTTTGTAAAAAGGAGCTCATCAAATATCAGGGCATGGTTAAGTGGCAGGAAGCTTAGACTCTCATTGCTCCTGACTCATTCAAATTCATACAATCACAGGCAATCTAAAGATTGGGAGTTTTTACACAGTCGACCCTTTGTAAATTGAGTCCTTCATCTTCATACTCAATCATCCACAGATCAAAATTAAAAACTGTGCAGTTAGGTCTATGATGGCTGTTTCAATTAAATATTACAAATATTTTTTTCTTATCATATCCTAAAATACGGTCAATTGTTATTTACTGGCATGCACAAAATAGTAATATTATAAAAGTCTACAAATGTGGAAAAATACATTAGAGTATGTGCATAGATTATATACAGATACTACCTCCTTGTAGATAAGGGACTAGAGCATCCTCAGAATACTGTATAAAAGGTGGGTTTTCTGGAGTTAATCCTTCCTGGATAGCAGACAATTGCATTTTTTATATTTGTTTCTTCTGATGATCTGGTGAGATGGGCATTGGAACTGGCAGATAGGGTTTTCATACTTTAATACCCATTCATGTTCATTTCACTTATTTATCCTAAAATATTGCATTACTATCTAATTTACATGTATTATCCATTTATCATTCGCAACTCTTATCAAAATAAAATTTCCCTACATTTTCCATTGTGTCCATATTCAGCTTAATACTGTCCTCAAAACCTGTGCTTCTAGACTGTCTGGATAAAACTGATACCAGATTGATGACTTCATTCATTGCAAGTCTGGTTCTATGACTGTAGGAATTCTATATGCATTCTTTAAATATAGGGGATTTTTAATCTGAAAAAAAAAAAACCAGATATTTACAGAGATTCTCTGAGGATTAGTATGTGTAGAACAGTTTGTAACAATTGTTGGAATCTTATTAGCATACAAGAAGCACTCATTAAATATTAAGTGCAATTTTATATAGATAGCCATAAAATATTTATGTGCAAGAGTATATACCATCATATGAAAAATGTCTAGTAGAGCATTCACAAAAGTTCTAAATAAAGGTAACTAAATCTCTGTTTCTTCATAATGGCTACCATTGTTTGTACAGAGATTTGACATGCACAGTTCCACTAAATCCACCTGACTAGAACATGACTGAGAGATAGAGTTGTTCTCTTTGCTTTCTATTTATTTCTTTGTTTTTTGTTTATTTGTTGGGATAGAGGGGTCACAGTTTTGATGAGCTACTATCACTTAGTGCTTGAAGGAAGCTCCTGGCAATGCGGGGGACAGGACTCAGTTTTTCTACAGGCAAAGCATGCATTTGCAGTGTACTGAGCTATGCTCCTAAACGGAAGAGAGCTATTTTTTTAATCACATATTTATAAAGGAAATTGAGATTATTGAGATTCAGATTGTGCATTGGGGTGGAGTATAATCAGAACAGAAACTGCCAGACCAAATACCAGACTACTGCTTACATATAAAAGTTATGGTTTGTTTTTGACTTTGTTTTCTATTTTTATATTTTAGGGTGCTGGGGCCTAGGCCAGGCTTTGCATAAACAAGGCATGTGCTCTACCATCCATTCACATTCCTAATAAATTATGTAATTTTCTTCAGGACTATTTTAACACTGACATGGAAGGACAGTCTCTTATTTGTACACACCATAATGTGCCAATAAATTTTTATAGTTTTTTTTACAGTGATTATCTTTAATTTGTGCATACTTTGAAATCCCCCATCCTAGTATATTTTTCAAAATGTATTTAAAAAATTACTATCACTATCTATGTCATTATATGTTATAGGGAATGTCTAAGATGATGACTGATTAACTTTTTAACTTGATACCACTATTATATTTGTTACCTTGGAATTTTCAAAGAGGCATCATAATGTCCTATTATTTCACAATTAAAAGTAAGAATATCCAATTAAACAAAATTATTTTGGTAGCAATTCCTAAAAAAGGCATGAGCATAATTATAAACTTACTGTACTGCCTTATAGGCAAGCACTACTCTTACAAATTATAATTGAATTCTCCTGGAGAAATATAAGCATTGAACCAAACTGGCTAAATGAAACACACTCTTTCATATAGAGTCAATCTTGGGCTCTGAAAGCAAATCAGTCAGTTTGATTTTGGGACTTCCTAGAGGTGTGAGATTGTGTAAAACCTTTATATTTGACCAATAGAGTAATAATACCCTGTGGCTATGAAGACAGAGTATTAAAAGTATCAACTGCAATTTTAGAGCTCTTGTTACAGTACAGGAATTACATTAATTTTGTTCTGCAAACTATCTATAAAAGTCTAAGTATTACCAGGTGCCAGTTTGCTGATGAGGAGGCAAATGTTCAGAGAGATTAAACTAAGGGTGAAAAATAAGTAGCCAAATTAACTTTTGAATCTCATTGCCTATGACATAAGGCAGATATTACCAAACTTATTTGGTCTATAACACCTCTTTTAGAGAAAAATTCACACAGGATACTGGACATCTATCTTCTTTAAGAGAACAAAATTTAACCCTCAATTGTACCAGAGCCTGTTACTGGCACCTCTTTCTTTCCAATGTCCCCAGAAAGTGGTATTGGCCATTCTGGAAAACAGTGATAGAACCTGTGTTTTTGCAGAAGAGTTAAGCTTTCTCGATGTATCAACAAATATCTAGAAGACCAGGGGATAACATAACTTAAGTCTCCTTTGAATTTCAGGAATTTTTAGACAGTCTAAAAATATTTTTCCTCATTTTCTTTTCAAGAAGTTTCTTTTTTTCTTCCTAAAGCAAGGCCCCCCTACTAGTGCCACCATTTATTAAGTTGGAGTTTACATCAGAATAATTTAAAAAGTTTAAATAGTGAAAGAAATAAATCTCACTGAGATTAAACACTTTAGAAACAAACACAATTTCAAAATGGTTAATATGATAAAACTGGAATCCTGGTTGTCTCAAAGAAAAATAAATTCCTAGACAAATCTGTGACTCACATGTAAGACTACATCTTCATTCCTCTTGATATGAAAACAAACTTCTCATGGACTCAAAATATAAAATATTCATACAAAAACCATGACTCATGAATGTAATAGTTTGAGCTTTATAATTTCCAGAATGCATAACAGTTTTTTCGTGTGTGTGAAATACGAATCTCCCATTCTATTCACAGTGATATTTTTACTAAAAATGCTAGAAGTTTTAATATATCCAATATAAATATAAAGCAGCTACAGTAAAAATACAGGTTACAAACATGTTATAAATTTAAAAGATTAAAGCCGAGTTTTATTAGCCTATAAATTAATATAGAACAAAAAGTCTAGTGAGAATGGAAAGGAGAGAAACACACAAAAGCAAAAAATTGCCCAACAAACATGACAAACATTTCCTTTTAAATTAAACTCAAAGGAACAAAAAAATTCTTTCCAGTATTACTTTTGGCAAAAAAATAATACATTCTATTGATGAAAGTTGAGGAAACAGTTTACTATATAGCGTGAACATCTAGTATTTGAAAGGCAGTTTGTCAGTCGAATGAAAAACATTCAATATCCTAACCCTGTCATCTGGCAACACCATTCTTGGATATTTTTGTTCCATCACATAAATATTACAAATCAAATAAATACGAACCTTGTTATATGTAGCTAAATATTTAGAGATTGATATTTCAAGTAAAATATTTTTGGGACTACAGTTTTCCTGCTTAAAAGGAAACCTAAGTTATTTAAGCATTTGAAAACACATAAAATAAATAATAATACTCCAGTGGAAGAATGTTCCTGGACTTAACTTCCTAGGCTTATTATGGCACAGAGTTAAAGAGAGATGAGGTAGGGATCTTGGGGTTAGTCTTAAAGTTGATTCTTTGAGACCTGCAGCTCCTTACTTTCTAAATCCATTTAAAGTCTTCTTTTCCAAAAATGCTTCTTCAATAAAGTCGAAATTCCCTGTACCTATCTCTCTCACTACCTCCCACCATTTCCTCCCATAGTTGTTGATCCATATCATGACAATCTCCACACCCACTTTTACAAAGTTACTTACTTCCTCCAGTCTCCAGCGGTTAAAAAGTTTATTGTATTTTCCTGGATGGCCTACAAATCTGTAAAAAGTCATTTTAATTCATTAGCTGTGGGGTTGACTGAATAACATTCACTAATGCATCACAACAAGTGCCTGTGTGGGTAGACACATCAAGGTTTACCAGTAAATAAACTTGCCTCCAAATTATTGATGGTTAATACACAACCTCAAAATATTCTACATAAAAAGGGAAGGTAAAGTATGAAGTCAACATTAATAGATTGAGAAAGTACAAATATTACAAACCAAACTAAATTTTCCACTTTTACCTGTGGAGTTTTAAGTTTGCATTAATCTAGTAATGAATATTTTTATAATACTGTTAATCATTTAGTTTAAAATGTTTCTAGTTTTTGTAGGTTTCCATGGCACTTGCTGGAATGAAACAGATGTCAAATGAAAACCATTACTTTAATATACTACTATCTTCATATTTTGTAGGAACAGTATGACAAACTTATAATGGGGAAAAGATTTCTATTCTAAGGATTTGTAACCTAAGGATACACAAAATATATTTTTCTTTTTTAACAAAACTATTGCTTATTATTGAGTAGTTATTTTTGAATCTAAGCACAGGATACATTTTGGGGGGCTAGGGAGCAGGATTTGGAACACACCCACCTAGATAAGAGTCCTGGCAATGCTCATTGTACTATATATGATGCCAGGGATCAAATACTGTTCTATCTTGTATAAGGTTAAGTGCCTCTCTCTTGTCCTACCATATAGGTTTTATTAATTTTCTAATGCCAGCTACCATTGATAGTGGCATTTTAATTACTGTACTTGCACGTTCTGATTAAAAACACATGTGAGAGCCAATTAGCACAGCTTACCTAGTTAGGGGATAAGAATTTGTCTCTATTTAAACAAGTTATCACTAAAATGTTGACAGTATTTTTCAACGTGAAAAATAATGTTTATAAAATTGACTTACCTTCCCAGAAAGAAAGCAATATAGAAGATAGAACTATTTAAGTTGACAAACTGGAAAAGAAACATCTTCAGGGCAAAGCTATTTTCCCATTCAGATTCAGTTCGAGGATATTCTGAAAGGAACATAAGGTAATGGATAAGGTGGATGACAAGAAAAATGAATACAGGACTAGATGCATGAACATAATCAAGTTCATGCTCAATCATTTTGTGTTCTACGACATACTCAATGTCTCTTTATTCTCGTTTCTGTTTATAAAATCTGAATTTGAAGTAAGAGCTCCTGAGATAGGTTTTAGATTTTTACCACAGCTATGAAAATATGATATCTGCAGTTTATATATCAAGATCTGAAGGATTTTCTGTCATTGTAATTTAGAAGTAAACAGAAATACTGGATCATTCTTTCACTGCATTGTCTACACTGCATTGTCTACATTGATTATTGGAACCTAAGTTGTCCAAAAGATTATTTAAAAAATTAACATTTTGATCACAAACTTAAATAAAATAGTAAAAAGGAAAGAAAGCTACATGCATTGAACGAGTTGAGCTCTTATCTCAGCATCATACTTAACTTCCTACTAACTTTAGAAAGGACTGCTCCCTTTTTTATAATCCATATTATCCATAAAATTAGAAATTTAGACAAGGTAACTTCCAAGTATCTTGTTAACAATCACACTGAATAGTCCTGGAATTTGTAAACAAAATAAAACAAGAGATGGATGGTAATAGAACTATCTATCACAGCCTTTAGCTCCCAGCTGATACACAGACAAAAGTTAGGAAATATATACAAACCCAGTAGATATTTCAATATGATTGAAGAATTCAAGAAAGCAGAAAAGTAGGTGAGATATGACTTAAGTAAATGATAAGACAAAGTATATGCATGACTGCAATCACAAACTGAGCAGAAATCAATGCTGGGGAATTCCAAGTCCAATAGAAGGTGGCTGTCAGGCAGAGATCCCACGGAGCATCCAAAGGAGTAACTGGTTGGTGACTACCAGTAAGAGAATCAGGAAAGCTGACATTTATACACATTTATCTTTGCTGTTTACTTCCACATAGTTTGTGAATATAGTATGCTTATGAATAAATTCTATATTTGTAAATTATAGAAATTAGCACAGCCACAAATTATACATTATATAATATGGTACATAGAAATACCTTTTCTGACTATGTCCCCTTCCAGCTTTGTAGCCTTGTTGTGTTCCTCTGTACTATCACGGTTCCCTTAGTCTCATGCCATGGTTCCCTGACTTAACCAAGTTTCACCTATCTAACTAAATTATCTTGGTTATTTTATTCATAAAACAGGGACTTTGCTGTCATAAAGCTGTGATGGCAATAAAACGTAATTTACTTAAGTCATATCTCACCTACTTTTCTGCTTTCTTGAATTCTTCGGCCATTTTGGAATATCTATTAGCTTTGTATATATTTCCTGACACTTGTTTGTATATCAGCTGAGAGCTAAAGGCTGTGATAGATATTTCTATAACCATTCATCTCTTGCTTTATTTTGTTTTCAAAATTCCAGGACTATTCAGTGTGATCGTTAACAAGATACTTGAAAGTTATGGCAATAAAACATATGGATGAATGATAAGCATTTATTACAGTGTCCCGTATCTGGTGAGTTTGCAAACAATAAAAGATTGCTTCTCAAAGAGGTTTATAATAAAAATGCCATCACTCAAACTTGGGACCAGGTATCTAGTCTAAGCATAGAATAAAAGTAAAGTATCATATCAAGGTATTTACTTCTCATGTAGCAAAACTGGGCTAGAGCGATAGCACAGCGGTAGGGCGTTTGCCTTACAAGCGGCCAACATGGCCGGCCCGAGTTCGATTCCTCGCCCCTCTCAGAGAGCCCGGCAAGCTACCGAGAGTATCTCGCCCGCACGGCTGAGCCTGGCAAGCTACCCATGACATATTCGAATATGCCAAACACAGTAACAAGTCTCATGACGGAGACGTTACTGGGCCTGCTCGAGCAAATCGATGAACAACAGGAGGATCGTGACCGTGTAGCAAAACTAAGACTCAAACAAAAAAAAAAACAAATAAAAATACAATAAAGTAGAATATTTCCTGGAAATAAACGTTCAAGAAACTAGAGTGCTGGTGAAGGAAGTATAGATGCAGCTGATTATAGTCTAGCCAGGGTAATCCAATTGGGTGTATAGGCAGTGGGATCAATGAGAATGACTTGAAAGAGAGAATAAAATGGTCAGAATAGTTTTATAAATATATTTTGAGAAAACTTAAAGTTGTGGCAGAAAGTTTAGCATAAACTGAGAGAAGTATGTAGAACATTAAATAAAAGTGCTTAACAACAATGAGATATCGTCTCATACTTCAGAGACTGACACACATTTAAAAGAACAAGAGCAACCAGACAACCAGTGCTGGCTTGGATGCAGGGAGCAAGAGACTCACATGCACTGTTGGTGGGAATGACAACTGGTCTAGCCTTTTTGGAAAACAAGATGGGCATCACTCAGAAAACTAGAAATTGAGTTCTTATATGAACTATAAATATCACTTTTGGGAATATATCTGGAAGCCCAAAAACACACAGCAGGAAAAAACCATCTGCACTTCTATGGTCATTGACATACTATTCAATGGCCAGAATCTGAAAACAACTTAAGTGCCCAAGAACAGATGACTGTATAAAGACCATGATGCATCTACACAATGGAATATTATGTAGCCACCAGGAAAAATGAAGTCATGAAATTTACTTATAAATGGATGGACATGAGAATATCATGTCAAGTGAAATGAGTCCGAAGGAGAGGGAGAGACTTCATTCATTTATGGGAAATAAAAAACATAGTATGAGACTAATACCCAAGGACAGTAGAAACAAGGGTCAAGAGGACTGGTCCACAGTTGGAAGCTTGCCTGAAGTAGTGAGAGGAAAGGGCAGTTAGAATAGAAAAGGGATCACTATGACAATGACGACAATGATAGTGGAAAATGATCACGCTGAATATGAACTGCATGTTAAAATCAGGTAAAGGAACAAACATGATAATCATTTAGTATCTGTACTGCAAACCATAATACCCAAAAGGAAAGAGAGAGAGAGAGAGAGAGAGAGAGAGAGAGAGAGAGAGAGGAGAGAGAGACAGAAAGAGAGAGAGAGAGGAGAGAAGAAAAGTGCTTGCTATAGAGGCAAGCTGCAGAAGTGGAGGGAGGCAGGAGGGAAACTGGGGACAATGGTGATGGGAAAACAAAAATTAATTTTATAAGAAAAAGTATGGGTGTTGGAACATTGTATGGCTGAAACCCAATTATGACCAACTTTGAGCTGTATCTCATGGTGATTTGATAAAAAATTTGCTTGAGCGGGCCCAGTAACGTCTCCATCATGAGACTTGTTATTACTGTGTTTGGCATATCGAGTACGTCACAGGTAGCTTGCCAGGCTCTGCCATGCGGGTGAGATACTCTCGGTAGCTTGCCGGGCTCTCCGAGAGGAGTGGAGGAATCGAACTCGGGTCGAACATGTTGTCTGTGTGCAGGGCAAACACCCTACCACTGTGCTATTGCTCCAGCCCTTGATAAAAAATAAATAATTAAAAAATAGTGCTTAACAACGAAAGTGTTATTGTTAGCGTAAAAAAAATACACACATCAAATAAGGGAACATAGTGCTTTCCAGGATTGGATATGAAAAGATTTATGTAGAAATGATGGTGTGCATACTTTTAATTATATTATTATTACTGTTTTGGTTTGGTGGTCACACCAGTGCATTGATTCTTAGCTCTGCACTGATGGATCTCTCCCGGTGGGGCTAGGGGAATCATATGCAGAGTTGGGGACTGAATTGTGTTGGCTACACACCAGGCAAATGCTGTACCCTACGTCCTATTTTTCTAGCTTCATGATTACTACTTTCACTAAAAATGATAAAATTACCATGGGAGAACTGTGCATAATAAATGATACAAGGGGATGTGTGGAGAATAGCATGCTCTGGGGTATATTAAAAGTTCAGTTTTCTATACTGAAAGGCCACAGCTTTTCAAAGTGAAAAAAAAAATCCAATAGACAGAGAAGAAAGGCTGCGGGTGGGTGGGGGTGGGGGGGCGCTCCACAGCTACCAAGAATACTCCCAGTCCCGAAGAGAGCCGAGATCACCGGGAAGTCCCAGATGGGGTAGGTGCCGCATCCCGCCTCCTCCAGAGGGAACCCCGGTGACCATGAGCCTCTACAAGCATAGCTCGCTTATGCAGGAACCAGGACTTTTACTCCAAACCGTGCCACGCGACATCATCTTATATATAAAGTGGTCAATGGAAAGTAAATTCTCCAACGTTTCTCCCTGAAAATCAGGCTTAACTCCTTTACAAACCACAACACCGAATAGGAATGAGAGAACAAAAGGGAATGCCCTGGCACAGAGGCAGGGTGGGATGGGGTGGAATGGGGGTGGGAGGGTTACTGGGATCCGTGGTGGTGGGAAATGGTTACTGGTGGAGGGATGGATATTCAAAAAAATAAATAAATAAATTTAATTTAAAAAATAAATATTACTAGAGGATATGCCACGAATGCTTCAACTAGTAGGTATCTGAAAGGGTCATTCCAGAGACAAGGCAGGTGCCACAGAGAGCAGCACATTGATCACAAACAGGATAGAACTCAGAAGTGCCCACTTGATAATGACTTAACACTCCTTTTGCCACAAAACATTTACTCTGAAAACTTCTACAGACTGTTTTTCTGTTAGGAATTCACAATGTATGTATTATGTCATGATTTGCCTATATCTCTAGTATGGCTTTTTTTTTCTAGGACAAAAAAATGAAATGTAAACTATTGTTATTAAATTGATGCAAAAACGTTTTTAAAAATATTTTTATCACTTGAAGATTGTGGCTTTTGCTTTTCCATTAAAAACAATTCTCATTAAAAAAAAGAAAAAATGAAAAAAATCCAATAAAAGACAAAATAAATATGTTTATTGCTAATTATGTCATTGAAATGAATATTTAAAATGTCAAGGTAAAGCTAGTACAGACTTATGTGCCATAAATTATTTTCTTATGAAGGACTGAATTAAAAAAAAAAGGACTTACCTAAATTAGTGAGAAAGTAAGCAATTTTTTCATATGCCTATAAGAGAGAACAAATAGTGAATGCTATCTTCACAAAAGGTTGAGCTATTACATAAAGTACTTTTCACACAGATATTTTGTGTAATTGCATGTTATTATTTCATTTGTAGATTCATTATTTTTATTTCATTATTATAATTATGTGGGCTTATATCTGTAACTAAGAATTTTTAGAAATAAAAACAACTTAAAAAGTGTGATATATATATATATACCACATGAAGTAACATCAAAAGCACATTCTATTAAATAGTTATATTTTAAAATAAAAACACCATGTTTTGACCTGTGCAACACATATGCACAAAATTCATGTTATGTTAATATACAGCAACTATGTAAATATAGAGACACACATGGTTTATATAATCTATTTAGACACGTTGGTTTCCATGACTCTATTCTGGAAGTTATCTTTATCTCAATTTTATAAGTCAAAGAAATAAGGTTAAAGAAGCCAAGAAGTACTCTAATAAGCAATGACTGAATTAGGCTTCAATCACCAAGTTATATGTGTTTTCACAATATACGTATTTAGGACATAAGTGGAAGTTTCAACACTACCAATAAGAAATTCCAAGCAATAAGAAAGACAGGGATACAGCAATTTGCACCCAAAATAAATTTGCTTGTTAGTTATTCAGAAGAAGTTTCAAAGGCAAAATTGGTGATCAATAAGAAAGTCGTATGCACAATAGAAATGCTCAAATCTCCTATCTTGAGATGTGTTCTTTGGGCTCTTTCTGCTCTGGAGAAGCTGGTGTTCTCACTTCAGAACGTGTCTTACCCTATCTCTCTCCTCACCTCCTTTATTTCCCCCAATGAACTCACTATAATTAAAAAAAAATGAAGACTACCAAAGGCAGGTAAAGAGTAATATTCTTGTGAGGGTTTCTTGTGAAGGTTTCTAAGCACTCTCACTTACTTTACCATACTTCCTCTCCAAGTTCATCTAACAATTTGATTTTTATTGTGAAAATGAGTCCAAACAAACATTTTCAGAATCAAGAAGAGATTTTTACCCCCAGTAATTTATCTTTCTAAATTTTTAGAAACTGGACGAGCATGCGCAAACGAAGCAAAAACATTAAAAAACAAAGTTAACCCTGTTATTAAATGAGTCATTTGGCATACATTCTTTCCAGGTTGCGATGTATGGTCCAACCCTTTGATCCACCCTATGCTATAATAACCCAGTGGCATTGTAATTGGTAACCAGCAGTTACTGAGGAAAGTTAAGTACATTTTGACGTTTCCAGGATTGAAACTGTTGGGGGGAGGGGGAAAGAAGAGAGAATATATGCTCTGGATTCTGGGTGTAGAAGTAAATTTAAAACAAAAAAAGGGTGGACTAGTCTATTGCTAGTATTTTAAATTTTAAATGCATGAGCCAGATGTTTTTTGAATTTTTCATTATAATGTGCTCTAGACATGATATATGATTAATATACTAAGAGTAGAAATACAAAAAATTATTTTTAATGGGAAATTTTAAAATGAATTATTTGGTTATAATTCCATATCTTTTCAACTATTAGGGACATTTCTGCAACGATGATTTATTTTTTCTTGAAAGTCACACATAAATCATGGGACCAAATAGCAGCCATGTTAGTGAAAACTATTCTTAAATCAACAAAAGTTTATTGTCTAAAAGCAAGCATATTTTTGAAATTATTTGAATATTTTTAATTTATATTAAAATCACTTTGGAAGTTTTTCCTAGTATTATGGTAATCATGCCTTATAGAGTACATTTAAATGTCACATTACTTTTAGGAGTAGCAAAAGAAAGAAAGAATTAAAGGAATTTGTAAAACGCAATGTTTGGTTTCAAATTTTGCCTTGCAGAATTTTAACTATCAGCCTTGTGAAAAAGTGCTAAAATAAAACTTGAATAATTTTAAATTGTCAGCAAAGTATGTTTTAAAGGTGTAGTTTTGATTTTGATTGTACATAAAAATTACCATAGATTCCTTAAATTAGTAACTTCTTAATACTGTTATAGAGGCTAACTGGATCACAAGAACTTGTTTATTTCTTTATTATCTATTTTTGTGTTTTTTTGGGGGGCACAGCCAGTTGTGCTCAAGCATAATCCCTGGCAAGGCTTAAGGGGACGATATGAGGTGCTGAGGATCAAACCTGGGTTAGTTCCATGGAAGACAATCACCCTACTTGTTATATTATTGCTCTATTCCCATAAAAACCTTCTTTAATTATATTATTTTAATGTAGATTTCTATGTCCAAAAAAGAAGGCTGGGGGTGGGTGGGAAGAGAGGGAAACTCGGGACACTGGTGCTGGAAAATGTACCCTGGTACAGGGATGGGTGTTGGAACACTGTGCGACTCGAATCTAATCATGAACAGCTTTGTAAGGGTATATCTCATAGTGACTCATTATTTTTAAAAAATCTTTAAAAGAAAACTATGAAAAAGTAAACACAGTGGATAATTTATTCATGTTATTTACATCCACTTTTCTCAGTTTGATCATTTCATTCTCCTGTTTGGTTATAGGACACCGAACAACAGAGTATTATGTATGTTATTCTTTGTGTAAATCAGCTTCCTAAAAATAATAAACAAGTGAACTTAAGATCATTCTGGCTAACTGCCAATGTGACCTAAACACATCAACTATCTGGCCTTCTTTTTTCTCAGATCATGAGCCAACTTCAAAAACCTCTTATGATAAAATAAATTTGTCATAAAAATTGTTTTGTTAAATGTAACACCTTTTATCATCTACCAGATGAATAGTATTAACGTTTAGTGATACATTAAAATACCACATGACTTATTTGGAGATATTGAAAATTACACTTCTAAATATTCTAAATAACGACAATTCCAGTAGAGAATAACTAATAATCCTTATGTTTGTATTAAAATTTACTTATTTATCATAATAACTATTTCCTTTTTCTGTTTGGTTATTTGTTTGGGGGCCATATTCAGCATTACTGAAGGCTCTACACTAAGGGATCACTCCTGGTGGGGCTCTGAGGATTATATGCAGTGCCAGGAACTCAATCCAGGTTGTACATGTGCAAGGTAACCGTTACTGCTGGACTATCTCTCCTGGCCCATTTCACTTCTCCTTAATGCCTCACCTAATTATTTTACATTAAATAGCAACAACCAAAGTGTTTCTTGAGAGTTGATGAATGAAGGAGATAAGAATATGATGTATATATACTTATGGAATACTATTCTGATATTAAAATATGCCATTTTGACATCTCCAATAAAATGGAAGAAGCCTGAAGGACTTATGTTGTTCAAAATAAATGTTAAAATGAAAACACTGGCTGGATCAATTGTAGAGTGAGTAGAGCACTTGCCTTATACAAGGCCAATCTGGATTGGATTCAATCCCTGGAACCTAAAATGGTTCCCTCAAGCACCACAAGGAGTGATCCCTGCAGAGCCAGAAGTCAGCCCTGAGGACTGCCAGATGTGGCTCCAAAACAAACTGTCACTGTAACTGTCCTCCCGTTGTTCATCAATTTGCTCGAGGGGGCCCAGTAACGTCTCCATTGTGACAACTGTTACTGTGTTTGGCATATCGAATACATCACTGGAAGCTTGCCAGGCTTTGCTGTGCAGACGAGATACTCAAGGTAGCTTGCCAGGCTTTCCGAGAGGGGGGGAGGAATCAAACTCGGGTCGTTCATGTTGGCCGCTTGCAAGGCAAATGCCCTACCCGCTGTGCTATCGCTCCAGCCCTCCAAAACAAAAACAAAATTAAAAAATAAAAATAAGATAATGAGTAATTTTACATACATGTGGAGCATAACAAAAGGAATCATATGAATGGAAGATAGGAAAAAAGAAAGACCTGTGAGCTTTAGAACAGTACGGAAGATATCAGAGGGGAAGAGCCAACGCATAGCAGCAAAAGCAAGAGTGTGTCTGAGAATAATAATATTTATTGTTATTATTTAAAAAATACTACAAGCTCAAATTACAAGGACACTATTTTGATTAGTATTGCTTTTAATATAAAATCCATCTTTTAAATATATTGATGAAGTATGTTCAACTACACTGAGTTGTCATGGTTTAGGCTTTCATGGAAATCGAATCAAAGTATTAAAAAGCATAGAACTTTCTCTATTCCTGTACTTTTCACCTACTGAAAATTAGAATTGGAAACTTACAAGATTCAGTGCCATAATGATCACAAAATTGATACAAACAGCTGCAGCAGATGTTGCAAACTGCCAGTGTTGTTTGATGAAATTCCACTTGAAGGATGCAAACTGCTCCATGACAACCAAGCGATATACCACTACTGCAAACACAGCAGTGATCACTAAAGAAATCTAAAATAGGAAGACCAAAGAAGATATGACATTACATGTTTCTTCATTATGAAAACAAAAGCAAAACTAGATCCAATACAGTGCATCAGAATTGAAGGTTAATTAATTCGGCCAAAATAGGATAGCAGCACGTATGCTGCCAGAACCCATGTGCTGCTTGTGCCCATGTGGCCAAGCACATGTGTTGCCCGCATCTCCCCTCTTGAGATGTGTACTTTTGTGCTTTCATGTCTAATACTAAGATATGTGTAGGGGCTCTCTCCGCCCTTGGAGAAGTTCGGGTTCTCTCATAAAAACTCCTTGAATCAGATGAAAGAGAAACCATCCCAATAAACACATCCTAATAAACACATCCCAATAGCACACAAAAAAAAAAGACAAAATAGGATACCAACATTTAATCTTTTTCTTCAACGAACTAAATTACACTATAGGATCTAAATACATAATATGAGATTTAAGTTCTTGCGATAGCACAGCGGTAGGGCGTTTGCCTTGCACGCAGCCAACATAGCCGACCCGAGTTCGATTCCTCCACCCCTCTTGAAGAGCCCGGCAAGCTACCAAGAGTATCTCGCTTGCACAGCAGAGCCTGGCAAGCTACCCGTGATGTATTCGATATGCCAAACACAGTAACAACAAAAGTCTCCAATGGAGACGTTACTGGGCCTGCTCGAGCAAATTGATGAACAACGGGAGGACAGTGACAGTGACAGTGAGATTTAAGTTATTTTAGTGTGATACCTGAAATGCAATTCATAAATTTCTGTTATCAAGTGGAATACTTGGTTTTAAAACACAGTATCTAATTGATCTGAGACATTCATGTAATTTTTATTTTGTTTCAGATATATTTCTGCCAAATTTTATTTAGGAAAGCATATAAGGAAATTTTTTTATAGGAAAGCATAAAACACCTCATTATTATTCTATAGCCTGGTATGATGTTTAGTATGATAATGGTCACGGTCCGCCTGTTGTTCATCGATTTGCTCGAGCGGGCCCAGTAACACTGTGAGACTTGTTACTGTGTTTGGCATATAGAATGCATCACAAGGAGCTTGCCAGGCTTTGCCATGCAGACGAGATACTCTCGGTAGCTTGCCGGGCTCTCTGAGGGGGAGGAGGAATCGAACTCGGGTCGGCCATGTTGGCTGTGTGCAAGGCAAATGCCATACCTGCTGTGCTATCGTTCCAGCCCAATCTTTAGTATATATTAAAAAAGTAAAAGATATGATTTTCTTAAATCCTATGCGTTGCAACATGAGTTAGGACCCTAAAATTCTTTTTAATCATGGAAACCCATAACATTATTATTTCAGTGGTCATACTTTACCATGAAGAATATTCCTGAGATAGAAACAAGTAGACGAGTGATTTTATCTGAAGAAGGCTGATGTGGCTCAGGTTTTCCACTGATAGGATTTATTCTCTCCATCTTATAATATTTTGCTTCAAACTCTGGGCGAAGTGTTTCCTATGAGAAAACATAAAGCTAAAGCTACCAAAATATCAAAGTCATAAAAATGTTAAGCCAACAATTAATACAAAATTTCTGGAATCTAATCTATTTTTAGTTTTAGCAATGGAACAATTTTTAAAAATAAAGATGCAAACTACTTTCCAAGAAAACTCTAAACTACATTTCAAGTGTGATAATATTTTACTAATGGAATTCAACGAAACATTATGGAACTGGATCTAACACAATATGAAATAAGATGCTTGTAAATAAAATATATCAAAGGAAAACCAAATGCTTTTTAAATGTTTCTGAACTGGATATTGAAGTTAGTTAATACTCTACTACATCAAAATAAATCCTAATTTTCTATCTTTTGTTTCCTACTATCTTACCTCCTCTTCTTCCCATTCAATAAGGTCCCAATTATAAGTCAGTGTACTTCTTCTCCTCTTCCAAAACTCCAGGAAGACTGTAGCTATAATTCATCATCAACATAATTATTATATTAGAATTATTTACCCAACCATATTAATTCAATAATTAGTTTTCTTTGGAGTGATGTTTCTAACATATTATAATTAATTATTAAATTAATACGATCGGAGTTTTATTTTTTCTCTCACCCTTTTCTTCTTGTTTCTATTTTTAACATACTCTCCACATATATACATATATTATTCCATTGGGATAAATAAGTAGAAAATTATGTATGATATGAATCATCAGTGTGTTGCTATGGGAAAAGGCAATATGAATGAGATATATATGTACTGTGTTTTTAACTTGTAAGTGCTTATACTGAATTATCTAAAACTTAAAATTATCTATAGTATATAATAAAGACTTTCCAGGAATGGCGATACGGTCTGATACTATTCTTTCAGTAGACAAAGTGAGATTGCTTGGGAGAAACAAACTAACAAAAAACATCAATATTATCATGGAAGAAGGGAAAAAGACCAAAGAAAATGTGCTTGGAAGAACATTCTACCTGGACATGTTATGAACTGATATGAAAAATGAAAAAAAAACAGTGGAAAACAAACAAATAAGCAAACTAATAACAAAATATACTTGTGTAAGCCATTATATGAATTTTTCCATGTTAACAGTTAAGAGAAAAAAATTTTTTTTCTTGGATTGGAGCACTAGTACAGAGGGTAGGTTACTTGCCTTATACTGCAAAAACCTGGGTTGAATCCTCGGCTCTGCCAAGAGAGATCCCTGTGTGCAGAGCCAAGACTAAGCTATGAGCATTGCTGGGCATGGTACAAAAACTGCCACACCTCCACCCCTCACATGATATTTTTATGGCATGTAGGTTTCATCTTAGAGCATTTAAGACTTTGTGAATACAATTAGGAACTCACATATGCAATTTTAGGACTCTTCAGCACTCTCAATTTTAGGACTCTGCTACCATTTGCCTTTCCAAATATTCACCCGCCAGTCCACCCATCCATCCAAACATCATCTATTTGCTCATTTTGTATATAAAAAAATCTAATACCAAGGATATTAGAATACCTTGTAATAAAGAAGTATGCACACTGACTATGTTCTTTTATTATTTTGCTTGGGAAGTTTATCAAATTCACTTCTTGATCCTGTGTATCTATCTAGGTGGGGGATTGAGTTAGAGGATAAGAGGCCTCCAAAGAAGGGGAAAGGTAGATTTCACATGTTTATGGAAATAGAAGTATTTTGGTAAAACTGGAAATGATACTGAATGACTCTATTCCTTAACAACTATACATTGTAGTTTTATTTATTATCTATTTTTATTTATGACTCTGAGATATACAGTTTCAAAGCTGCTTATGAGCGAGTCTGAGTCAATGTTCCAACACCCATTTCTTTACTAGTACACATTTTCCACTACCAATGTCTCCAGTTTCCGTCCTGACTGCCTCTCCACTCCCTGCCCCTGCAGCCTGCCTCCTGCCCCATGTTTATTTTTAAATTCTACCCCTTGGACTATAATGACATAATTTTTACAACTTTCAGAAATACCATGGCCAGAGAGACAGGACAGTGGTTATGACACTTGCTTTGCATACTGCTGCACCAGATTCAATTTCCAGCAGGCAATACGGTCTCCTGAGCACCACCAGGCATGATCCCTGAGCACTGTGTGATCTCTGAATACCATCAGATAAGGTCCCCAAACCAGGAAAACAAAAAGTATTTCCAAGCATGCACTTGCTACATACTGCACTTATAATTCCATTTCCTTACCATTTTGAATGGTTTTCTTCTGTGATCTAAAGTGTGTGGAACATTCCCAGCTGAAAAGCTACTCCAGCCTACTGTTGCGATAAAAATATCAAATGCCCTGAACAAACACCGTGATCTCTTAGCACTTGTATTGCAAACCATAACGCAAAAAAGGAAAAGAAGAGAGAGAGAGAGAGAGAAGGAGAGAGAGAGAGAGCAAGAAGTGTGAAGTGCCTCTCATAGAGGGAAGCTGGTGGTGGTGGGGGGAGGGTTTGGGTGTTGGGGGATGGTGGGAGAAAAAGGGAAACAGGAAACATTGGTGGTGAAAAATATACACTGGTAGAGGGATGAGTGCTGGGTCATTATAATTGAAACTCAATTATAAGCAGCTTTGCAGTGCTCTATCTCACGGATATTCAATTAAACACATTTTTAAAAAAGTAATGTGGAGTTCATGCCCAGTTCAATCAGCTTAATCAATGGCAGAATTAAGAGCAGTACTCCTACATTAAAAAAAGTAAATAAATAAAATGTGTGGCACAGCATAACAAAACCACAGAATATGCAGATAAAGATCTTAGATTCTGTACTGAGGTTTCTCCAAGGTTTCAAAACATGCACAGTGGAATTTCATTGGAGAAATGAGAAAAAAGAGGATATCTTACTAGAGAAAGCCCTATTAAACTTAAATCTATTTTTATATTCAAAAATCAAGTTTAATTTTATTTGAGAAAATAATTACTCCTTTTAAAGTTTTTAAAATCACTATCTATTGAGAGGTGAATTTTAGTTCCAAATACTAAGGAAGTTATATATGTTTGAGTATGGAGGGCAGAAAAAGAATTCAAAGTCTTGTTTTGATCAAAAAGGATAAAGCTTTAAAGGCTAGTTAGAAGAAAACTCTGTTGAAACAATGATTTATTAGAGCAACACTTTAACTTTGCCAATCTGGAAAACAACCAAGTACCACTAAAGACTTTTCTCCATTCCCCAGATTTATTTTCAGCAACATCCTAGAAGATAATAGGTTATCCCCACACAGGATTGCAACATTGCTTTACATGAGGAAGAAATAGAAAACTGACTGAACAGGTTCTATAATTAACAGAGGATCCACAAATGGAGAATACTTTAAATATTCATCCCTGGAGAAAGTTACCTATCTCCCTCCACCACTTTTTAAAAACAGAAAACTTATAGAAATGAAATGAATAAAGCTCCTCATATTGGTATGAAGTAAGCTAAAATGTCTTTAAATATGCGTGAAATGTCAGAGTTTGAAAATCTGGATTGGACTGTACATGATACAGTCATACCAAGAACCGGTTACTCGTAAAAGACATGGAAACTCTTGCTAACTAAGCTTCCAATTTTCATACCCTCCATCACCGTGTTTAACATTAAATTAAAAAAATAAATAAATAACTGGATTCTAAGATGAGCATATAAGACTGAAAACCTTTATAGATTCTTAAAAATTACTATACATATTTTTCTGCCAGAAAAATTAATTTTCAATTTCAAATTAAGAAGCTGTCCTAAATAGCATAATGTTAAATTAAAATATAATGAGACCTCTCACGGTAATCCTGATCTTAGCTTTGCTATAGAGTCTATAGCAAAGATAACTTTCCCTGACACTTAATATGCTACTGTTATTTGAATTTCATATCTGAACAACATTTGCGTTGTTCAGAAATGAAATGATATCTCAATTGAGTTGCTAAAAAATGAAGTCTACATGATTATAACTTCATTAAAAATATAAAATTTAATGTAATTTTTTAGAGAATAATATCCTAAAATTAAAGATCAATTTTCCTCAGGACCATTGCCTCATTTTATCATTCACTTATTTGATCAGTGTTTTACTTTCCTTAACTCTATTGAATATTTTCTCATTACTGTAGAAAATACTACCAGCAAAAATAATTTGAGCAGATTATTTTTCTTTTATGAATATATATGTCTAGAAGATTGCTATGTGATAAACTTATTTATCTATATAAACAGTTTTTGAAGAATGAATTAAAACTAAATAAGAAATTAAATCATTTATCACCTAAAAATTCTAACAACAAACACTTTTTGTCAGATATTAAATTCTGACAATTACATCTAAAGGTGGTATTTCTCTTTCACATTTGTCACCACCAGTGAGTGACAATCACTATAATAGAATTATTAATTTTTATCATAAATGTAATTTATCTTCTTGATCAAATTATAGTGTCCAGAACGGCAATGAGGTACTGAGAAAACAGAGTGGCTCTGCACACAGGAATATTCTGTGTTTGAGAATTGTCTAGATTCTTTTCTAATAGTGTGACCTTGGACCAATTACTAAACAATGATAAGCCTCTGTTTCCACAACAAAAAATGAGAATAGTAAAATTGTTTTCATTGGAATATTGTATGAATAACAATTTGCAAGTAGTTTCACTAAGCTTAATTCCTTGTACAATACATTTTCATTAATTTTTTTCATTACTGCTCGTTGACATTTATTGAAAATATTGTAGACAAAGTTCTTGGTTTTACTGCCTAAACACATTTTTCTTCAGGAAAAAGAGCTACTGTCAGTTACTTATATTTAATGGTTTCAATTTTATTAAAAAACACAACAAAACTCAGTCACTGTCAGTTTCCCTATAATACTGTTTTCCTATGCCTTGACAAGGCAAACAACTTTCACTGCCATTTTAATTCCTTTTGTGTGTACTGAAAAACTAGTGCTGGTTCTTGATTCAATTAAAAACTTATCTTAGAGAGTTAATACATCTATTACTATATAATAAAAATATAGTAAAAAAATTAAAAAAGCTTCATCATATTCCCAAGGAGGATGAACAGTCCTAATAACAACTTGTAATATATAGCTCTTATAACACCCAAGACCTTGTGCAATGTGTGTGTGTTTGTGTGTGTGTGTGTATTAGAGATGGGAATCTGGGACAACCCCAATGGTGCTCAGGAGTAACTTCTGGCTCTGTGCTCAGAGATCACACATGGTGGGGCTCAGGAGGCCATATAGGGTGCCAGGAATCAAACCTGGGTCTGAGGCAGGCAAGGCAAGCTTCCAACTGCTATACTATATCTCCAGCTCCTGTGCAATATATATTTTAATTAATTCAAATAATTTTCAAAAATATGAAATGGAAACTATTAATCTTCCTTATATATAAAAAATTGAGGTTCCTGGTATTTACCTGAGACAATCACTAGCTGAAATCAAGTCTTGACTTAGTAAATTTTTGT